AGACTTTTGATCATGTCTGGGGTGGCTTATTGCCTGAGCAGTTCGTACTGGGTGAGACGTGATCATCGGATTTAGGATTAGTGCAATCTGGTTATATGAAGTATATTAAGGAGCTAAGACCATTATTTGGTTCAAAATGAGGTGATGGTTCTTGTCAGGAGTATAGACCCAATGATTTGTTGATTTGGCAGTCGGTTATGAATTTCTACACATCTCTTCCATCATGGCGGTATTGTCAGAGTTAGAGCCAGACCTATGTAGGTCATGAGGTGCAATGAGAGCATCAAATTCGTGGAATTTCGATTAATTTGATCAGAGAATGTTATTGTGGTCCTGTGAGTAAAGTGGTGCAAGTTGTGAATTCAGCTAAGGTATGCAGTCATGTTTTGGTGTTGCGTCTAGTTATTGATATGGTGAGCGTATGTTGGAATAGGCCTGGCAGAGAATTCCGGATGATGGAATTGGGCTCAAAGGCTTATTTGTTTAAGTGAAAAAGGTTATCTTCATATTGATCGAACTAGGGTGCCCAGCTGAGTTGTGGTAGCATGGGCAGGTGCTCGAGGTGTTGAACAGTGATTTCGGGTAACTCCAGCACAATTCTTAGCACGTTCGAGGACGAACGTATGTTTAAGTGGGAGAGAATGTAACGACCCGACTGGTCGTTTTGAGCTCTAGCGCGTCGTTCATCAGTTTGAGGCCATGAGCAGCTTCGCTTCAGGTATTATGACTTGTGCGCACGGTCAGAATTGAATTCGGGGAAGTTTGAAGTTGATTTGGAAAGAGAATTCTCATTTCAGAAGCTTTAAGTTGAAAGAATTGACTAAAATTGAATTTTTGAGTAAACGACCTCGGAATCGGGATTCGAAAGTTCCAGCAGGTTCGTATGATGATTTCGGACTTGGGCGTATGTCTGGACTGGGTGTTGGAAGACCCGGGAACGTTTCGGCGCCTATTGTGGAAGTTAGCATTATGGAGTAATTTCATAAGTTTGGGTTGAAGTGCATTTTAGGGTTATCAATATACGTTTGGGATTTTGAGTCTGAGAATAGTTCCATATGGTGATTTTGTAGTTGGGAGCGCGATCGGAAGTGAATACGGAGGTCCGTAGGTCATTTTGGAATTATTTGGCTAAAGATAGAAATTTGAAGGTTTTGGAGAAGTTTGACCGGAAGTAGACTTTTTGATATCGGGGTCGAAATCCGATTCCGAAAGTTGGAGTAGGTCCGTAATGTTGAATATAGCTGGTGTGTAAAATTTGAAGTCAATCGGACGTGATTTGATAGGTTTAAACATCGAAAGTAGAAGTTTGAAATTCTAAAGTTCATAAAGCTTGGATTGGCGATCGATTCGTGGTTTATCGTTGTTTGATATTATTTGAGGCCTCGAGCAAGTCCATAATGTGTTTTGGGACTGGTTGGGGTCCCGGGGGCCTTGGGTGGATTCCGAGTGGTTAACAGATCGAAAATGAAATTTTGGAGAAGGCTGAAGTTGCTGGTGTAACCGCACCTGCGAAACTAGGGCTGCAGGTGCGGAGCCGCAGAAGCGGTCTTCGTTCCACAGAAGCGGATATGAACGGCTAGGCTGGGACCGCAGATGTGGTCATTTTGCTGCAGATGCGGGACCACACCTGCGGAAGGAGAAGCGCAGATGCGAAAGTTGAAGGCTTAGGGAAAGACCGCAGAAGCGGTCAATAGATCGCACGTGCGAAAGGACTGGAGGCAGTGAGTGTTTTAAAAATCGGGATTTTGGCCATTTTCTCTCATTTTTCTCTTGGTTGGGAAATTCTTGGAGGGTTTCAAGAGAGGGTTTTCATCATCAACGATAAGGTAAGCTATCCCCACTTATCTTGAATTAAATACATTAATTTTTGTGCGGATTTGAGCATGAAATTTGTAGAAACTTGGGGTTTGAGGGAAAACCTAGAGAATTGATATTCTTGGAATTTGACCACGATTTTGGGTATGAAATTGAGAGTAAATTATATATTTGAGTTCGTGAGATTATGGGTAAAGTTTATGTTCTAAAATTTTATGAATCCGGGCACGTGGGCCCGATGGCGTATTTGTCAATTTTTCGATCGGGGTTTGGAATTGTTATAAATTGGATCATTAGGGGTAATTGAGTATATATTAATGGATTTGTATTATTATTGGCTAGCTTTGGAGCTTTGTTCATCGATTTGAGTCTTCGGAATAACATGGAATGCCGATTATGAATCTTCGGAGCGAGGTGAGTCTCCTTTCTAACCTTGTAAGAGAGAATTGTCCCCATAGGTGAAATAAATAGTTAGATGCTCCTATTTGTGGGGGCTACGTACGCACGAGGTGACGAGAGTCCGTGCGTAGCTACTATTATGTTTAAGTCCGGGTAGTCTAGGATCCAAAAACATACTATACTTGGAATATTTGTAATCTTATTGACATTTGAATTGCTTAAATCCTATCGAATTGGTAAATGGATTTCTAAAAAGAATTAAGCTTCATTTTTCTAAATTGTTAGAAAAAGTGGTTTTCTTTGGATAATTGTTTCCCGATGACTTCTTGATTGACTATCTATGCGTGTTTAAATTCTGGAACGGGCCGAACGCCTCGGTAGATTAAATAGATGCATCTATGGTTCGCGCCATTCGACCTTCTAGCAGTGCACAGTTTAAATATTGTTGGATCGGGTCATACGACCTCGGCATGATTTGCGCATGCTTGTATTGCTTGCCTTGAAATTTATTGAAGTTGTTATTGCCTCTTCCCGATTTGAGAATATTTGTCTAAACGATGAAAAGGAATTTGGAAATTTTCTATAAAAGAAAGAATTTCTTACTTGCTTCATTCCATTGAATTACAATCATGTTTATAAAAATCATTGATTTACTATTTTATTGAGATAACATTATTGGACCACTAGTAAGTGTCAAAGTCGACCTCTCGTCTCTACTTCTTCGAGATTAGACGGATACTCATTGGGTACACGTTGTTTTCGTACTCATACTACACTTGTTGTGCATTTTTGTTGCACAAGTTTATGAGTGGCATAGCGACATGGTTGATACGGAGACTTAGGTGAGTTGCATTTATCGAGACGTCCGTAGCCAGTTGAATCTCCTTCAGAGTATTGTATTGTATTTTCATTTCGGTCCACTTGTATTCCGGACAGTCACTGTATTTTATTTCACTCACTGGTAGATGCTCATGCACTTGTGACACCGGGTTCTGGGAGGATCACAAGATTTTTTAGTAGTTAAATTTTGTAAAGACATCCTCATTTATTCAGTGGAGTTTATTATTTATTATTCAGTTGTTTAAAGGAAATGATTTCAAAATAAATAATATGAGAAATTGCTAGTAAATTGTTGTTGGCTTGCCTGACAGTGGTGTCCGGCGCCATCACAACCCTTAGTGGATTTTGGGTCGTGACAGAAGAAAACGAAGGAGGAAAAGAAGGAGAAAAGTGGCTGAAGTTGTTTAAAAAGTGGGTACAACTTAAAACGTTTTTAAAAAATGAATATAGGTTAAATGGGGGAGACCAAATAAGGCACCCCATACAATTTTTACCATATTTTAAGCCTCATTATTCTTAAAATTTCCAATACTTATTTGTTAATGGATAATATGAATTGATAAATATTTTTCTTTTAACCATTTTGCTATCACCAGAGAAACCATCGCTATCATTCTCTATCCCCAATTAAGGCTGCTCGGTGGGCCGGGCCCGCGGTCCTAACGGGCCTGGTGGGCCGGTCCTGGTGGTCCTCAGAAGCCTGTGACGGGCCGGTCTTCTAATATGAGCCCACGAGCCCGGGACCGTCAGCCGGGCCAGGGCCGGTCCTGGCGGGCCTAACGGGCCCAACGACTATTTTAAAAAAAAATCTCCAATGGCCATATTTAAAATCTAGCCGTTTGGGCTGAAAATATGATCGTTTTTAAGTTTTTAAAAATGGCCATTTGGCCCCCAAACTTTATATAATTACACTTTTCCCCATTTCTCAACTATAAATACCCCCTCATTCTTTCATTTTTATTCACCAATTCATCAATCTCTCTCAATCTCTCTACTACAATTACTTAATTTATTGTTGAAATTTCGTGAAAAATTGTGAAGTTGTTGAATTGAAGTTTTCAAGTGTTCAACGATTTTCAATTTTCAAGAAGTTGTTCGGCAATCCGGTAAACTCGTTTCAACTCTT